ACCGTTATTAGAAGCCCCTAGCGACTACCCTGGCCTTACGTTTTTCGAGGAGGCCGTTTCTCTTCTTATATTTTAGCACGATCTTCGCAGTTAACCTATAGCTTCGCTTAGGGAGGGTTTTAAAGGAGGGGGCACCGTAACTAATAAGACTAAGGATCTCGTCGTAAATAGCCTTCTTCTAAGAGGGCTAGTTAGCTAGACGGCATGCCTCTGCCACGTTTTTAGGGTCCTGGGTAGTCTATTAGTCGCCCTTATTATCGGTGGGTAAGGGTCCGGCATTATTATTACTATTACGTAGCCATTGGATCTCGGCAGGGTTGATAGTAGGGGTTGGTTCCTTAACTATGAAGGTGGTTCTTAGGGATACTTCGTATTCCTCCAGGTTAACCGTTAGTTCTATAGCGTGCTACGGGTGCTTATTAAGGCGTTATAGGTCTTTATAACCTATAATCAGAGGATCGTTATAGGCGTTAGTGGTGTTTCCCTCTATTACGATGCTTTTAGTACCGTAAACCATTGAGAAGGTTAGTCTAGGCGGGGTAGCGCGGGGTCGTTGATTTGGATCTAGCGTGCCAGTTAAAGGGCGAGGGTTATTACGGTGGTTTCTTAGTAGTTGGCTGTATACTACTAAGAGTTATGCCTACGAGGTGCCGCTATTGTGATAGTCCTCGTGGAAAACTACCTAGCTTAAGATGACTAACCTTCCTTTAGGTTTCTCTATAGTGCCTGCGGGTATCTAAACGCAGTATAGGTACTCCCCTTTAAATCTAATAAGCACGCCCTCTTCTACGCGGGCTTTAAGCTTATAAGACTTTACTCTAACCTCTAGGGGGATATAGATAAAGACTCTATAACCGAGGGTCCTTAAGTGGTGGATAGGTGGCTTATTATCGTAGCCAGGGGCTAGGTCGTCGTAGTAGGCTTAGTAAGGGGTCTTCTTATTAACTACGGAGATAGCCCTGATATTACTAGGATATACGGAGCTACGGAGGATTTTAGGCTATAGAAAACGGGGGATATCGGTACCGACTACTATTTCCCTGCCCTTATCGAGGATAGCACGGATAGACCTTTCCATAACGTCGTTCTATTCGTGGTCGTAAGGAGGGCTACTTAAAAAAGACGTGCCCTAGGCTTAGAGGTTATAGTAAAGACTATTACTAAGGAACTCTCCCGCATTATTAGTATATACGTGCCTCATAGGTTATCTCTAGCAGTTACTATATAAGGTCAGGGCGTTAAGTAGCAGCCTCCCGGAGTCAGATTTAGTCTTTAAGATCAGGATACCCTTTTTCTGGGAGGCGTTATCCGTTATACTAAGACCGTACTTATCGCCAAACGGTCTAATAGACTTTAGCTCGAAGATATCGACGTGCTATAGTTCTCTAGCGCGGGTGGTATAGGGGCGGGGGTCCTTAGGGCTATATCTAAGACTATAGGAGAGGTCGCAGACTATATAGGGTTAGCCGCCGATCCTAGCGGCTTCTAGGGTATTCTTCGTGATTTTAACGGTGTTACGAAGGTCCCTATAGTTAACGTGACTAAGGCGTTAGTGCTATAGGCGTGTCTATAATACCTATAAGATTACCGCTTTAGTTCACCGATAGTCGAGTCGTTGGTCGATAGGTTATACTCCTGGTTAGGGCTTATTAGGCTATGCCTCGCTCGGCGGTGCCCTAACTAGTAGTGTTACTATTATAGAGGGTAGTAGCCTCGCGGCTATAATAGAATTAGGTATAATATAGAAAACGGCTATAGGGTCGCTAGAGTGGCTAAGGAAGAAGCCGCGAGTGCTTACGTTAATAGTACCGATGCCCTCGCCTACCTTATTATGTAGGACGTTACAGTCTAAATAACCTCGACCTATATATATTATCTTCTCTAATATTATATTAATATAGAGCCCGGGGATATAAACCATTCTTTATAGGATAACGACCTTTCCTTTACCGTTAGGGCCTTATAGGTATGCCTTAGCTACCCCGATATAGGTAGGCTTAATAGTGCCGTCCGCAGTAATAATCTAGAACCGGTTTTATTCGGGGATTTCTCTATAGTGTATAGGATTTAAAGTCGCCTATAGAATATAGTAAGGCGCCGGAATCCTATAGCTAGCGGTTATAAATATACTTCCTATTACCTTAGAAGACAGGTTCTATAAGGGTTTCTAGAGGGCCGTTAACCCTGGGTTCTTCTATAATGGTATCGGTACTACTATAGACATAGTGGGCAGAGACCTCGCCGTGAGGTTTGCTATCCGTCGCGGTGCTAACGATCTTAACAATCTTAGTGGCCCCCCGCCCGTTGATTATACTATTATAAGTATCGGTAGCGGTTTAGGCGGGGGGCTTAGGCACGGGGTTAACGGGGACATACCCGGAGTAAACCGTTAGATCTTCTATATCTGCAAAGGGGTGCCTTAGAGGTAGTCTTAATACAGATTTTTAAGTTGCACTAGTGCTTATAGGCAGGAGCGGCTAGTAAAGACGCCGTTATGATTACCTAGATAGTCCTCTAGGCTATTAAGGGCGTTAATGGCTCCTTTATTAGTATTAACGTTATAGGCGTGGTTATTGTTATTGCCTCGGCCGTTATTGTTGTTATTGCGGCTGTAGCCTCCGCGGCCACGACCTCTTCCTTCTTGGTTATTATACCTGGGGCTGCTAGGCGAGCCGTAATCCTCTGTTTTATGTGTTTCCGGCCGAGGGCAGTTCGTGGTCGTATAGGGCTCGCAGCAGTTGTTTTAGGTAGCGTTAGATTATTTATTAGATTGATTCTTGGATCCGCTGCCTTGTTAGTCGTTATTCCCTTAGCGAGAGCCGCGGCGGTTATTATTACGATGCTATTTCAGTATCTCTTATTTCTGTTCTAGAAGGTTATCGGTTATAATAGAGATATTATAGGCCTTTTTCTTATCTTTTTTCCTATAAAAACGCTAGTTATCTTTATGGATTCGGTAGGTTCTAGGCAGGCCGTTAACGACATTAACAGCTATTAGCTTATTAGGGTAGCTGTCACTAATTAATAGGAGGGTATCGCGGAGGTCTCTATACTTAGAAAGATACTAACCTATTGACTTAAAGGACTATAGCTTTAGGTTGGAGGCCTACTTACTAGTGGAGATCTAAATCTCGATATCTAATAGCTTATACTTACTTAGGCGCTTCGAGATTTCCCAGGAATACTTAATACCTTTAAGGTCTCTTTTAACGGCTCGATCCAGGGTTAATAGGAGGAAAACGTATGACGTATCGCGCTTAGTGTGATTAACCTAGTAGTATAGCAGCCGGTTCTTCTAGTTCTTTTACGAGACTCGAAGGTCAGGCACTAGTATAGGAGTAGCAGAATGGATAGAAAGGGCAGAAGGGCTAGAAGGGCCAGACTCGGCTAGCTCTAATTTCACTTTAGGCTTATAGATATACTAGTTTTCGAGGGTAGGAGCCTAGCTCTTAATACGAGCTTAGCCCTAGATAAAGTGCTAGAGATTAAGGTCCTTAGCGTGTCGTTAAGCCTTAATAATCTAAGCGACGTAGTTAGAACGGCCGTTAAGAAAAGGTCTATTATAAGAGAGGGCGTTCAAGGAGGTTATCCTAATAAGGGGGGAGGGGTATAGGTAAGGGGATAAAAGAGGTAGTAGAAAAGGTAGAAGGGGGGAGGGTAAATCAATAATAGCTTCGAGCCTTAGTAGGCGAGCGGTTAGTAGTGGCTTCTTCGACACTTAGGTAGGCAAGCCGTTAGTAATAGCTTCTAGCCTAGGTAAGCGAGTGGTTAGTGATAGCTTTAAGTCTAGGTAGGCGAGCGGTTAGTAATAGCTTCATCGACGCCTAAGTAGGCGATAGCTAGGTTATTAGGAGGGTAGGAGGGCATAACGCTATAGTACTAAACCTCTTTACGAGCTAGGCGGCGGTTTAATTTAGAAGCTATCTAGAGCTTCTTTTTAAAAGGAATAGCAGGAACACTAGTTACTACTATATAAAAATATAAGATCAAGCTAGTATAATTTTATAAGAAGATTACGTTAATTAAAGAGCTAGGGTAGATATTTAGTCTAGGCGATACGGGCCAGGGTACTTAAGCAGAACGGATTCCCTATACAAACACCGTTCGTTTAATATACCTACGTCCGAAGAGTCCACCGTTTTCATACCGACGATTTCCCACAGGACTAGTTATCAGACCACGGCTATATAGATGTCGTATAGGCAGGACCACGACGTGGTCTATAGAGGATCCAGGGGGGATCTACTACTCCCTAACTAAGGGCTTCGGACCTCGGGTATTAGGATATAACAGGGGCGGATACCGGAAAAGACCGGATAGGATCTAAATAATATAGTACCTATAATAGAGTCTTTACTACCTAAATTAAGGGTATAAGAGACTTACACAGATATAACTTAATATAATATATATACACGAGATTTCTGCTCTACTAAGTTGATTATCTAAGTGCTATTTGACGTGCGATAGTAGGGCCGATATAGTTATGCGTTTACATCTGTCGCAGTGCACGTGACAGGCCCCACAGTCTATTCGACATAGTCTGCCAGCATGGTATGTGCCCATGCGACACAAATTACGCTAATAAAGAATCTTGGTGCACGGGCAGTTCCATTTTGTGCTCACGCTAGAACGACTTGCACTGGGGAGTGGAAAGGTAATTACCCAAACTTTCTGTCCTCACATTCTTTCATAACCATCGCAGGCCACAGTTCTCTTTCCTTTTCCTTATTAGGTCACCTGGTCTGGCCTCGTTTTCTTTTCGACCATCAACCCACGCTACTCGCAGGTTAATAATATACTCTTTCCTGCCTTCTGCTTTCTACTCTACCTCCGTTTTGTTTTATTTTGTTCACCTGGTTCCTTTCGTCTCTCCCCTCGAGTCCGCTGCTGAACAGAAGCAGCACCTGGTAACAACGCGAATTTCACAACCAGCAGAGCAGCAATAAAATAAGCTTTGGCTACATCCCAGCCCCGACAGACATTGACAGGCCACGATCATGGCTAGCACCAGCATGGACTATGAAGGTGCCAATGGCGACCGATATGAAGGTCAGTTTCCCAATAACTAGCTTACCAATTGCTCTTCCCAATTGCAGAAACAAAGCTTAATACCCGAGTGCCGTTTAGATGAGACGCATCGGTACGACCGCGACAATCGCAGTGCCTCTCCCCGTCCCCTCCGCGACGAACCCGAGGGAGGTCGTCGACGCTCTGCCTCCCCTCCCGGCAACGGCGATCAGTAAGTTCCAGCATAGACACTTTTTCTTTTTTTTCCGAAGACAAAAAAATCTTCTTCCCCCTACTCGTCTGGGAGATGCGAAGTGTTCAGTGTCGATGCTGACGGCTTGTTCATGATACAGTGTTTCCAAAGACGATGCGGCTTCAAAGGGTGGCGATGATGATGGCGCGGTCAATCCTGGCTCCAATCTCTTCGTTACTGGCATCCATCCTCGCCTAAGTGAATCCGAGGTTACCCGGCTCTTTGAAAAGTATGGGGAGGTTGAGAAATGCCAAATTATGCGCGATCCTCACACCAAAGAATCTCGGGGGTTTGGCTTCGTTAAAATGGTCACCTCCGACCAAGCCGACGCGGCCAAGGAGGGCCTGCAGGGGGAGCAGATTGATGGCCGCACTCTGAGCATCGAAAAGGCTCGCCGCGCCCGTCCTCGTACTCCGACCCCGGGCAAGTACTTTGGTCCGCCTAAGCGTGGTAAGGCTACGCCCTAGCTGGCTCGGTAATGAATCATTGCTCTGAATGCCAACCATGCTGATTTTTCTCTTGCTGTAGATGGTCGGGGTGGGCGCTTTAACGATCGCTATCGCGACGAGCGTCGCGGTGGCTACGGTGGCGGCAGCGGATACTACGGACGCGATGACCCCTACCGCTACCGCGGCGGCGGCGGTGGCGGTGGCAGCGGCAATGACCGACGGTATGATGACCGTGGTGGTTATCGTGAGGATCGGGGGTACGATCGTACGTATCGGGACGATCGAGGGGGCTATGGTCGAGAGCGTGAGGAAGGCTACGGCCGCGTTGACCGCTACGGAAGTGGCCGCGAAGACCGCTATCGCGAAGACCGTTATCGTGATGACCGTCGGGGCGGCCCAGGTTATGAGCGCGACAGATATGAGCGGACCGCTGAACGCGATGCCCCTCGCACCCGCGATGCGCCCTCGAGCGGCGCTGGCTATGGTGATTCAGCTGCTGGTCGCTCTGAAGGACGTGAGCCTTACGGATCAGGTTTGAGCTGCAAATGACCATCATCTTGCGAATTCAATGGGCTGACATGCGTAGGATCCCGTTGAACATGGATTGGACTAACGTCACGGTGCTGCGCTCTGGGCTGCCATGGCCGCTTTTTTCACGTCTCTGGTGCTGCGATCCATTTCAGCAAATATCATCTTCTTTGCGTCCGTTGGTACTTGTACAAATTCGGCTGGTCTGGATGGGGAAACAACAGGGGATTCTTCCGACCACATCATCTCTTATGCCTGGCCACTTGTAGATGATGGAAGGCCATTCAGCACAAGCATCGGACTTTACGGAGGTTACGGATCGCCCACTTTGCTTTTGAGTCTTGGACGACGTTCTTTCGTAGCTTTGGCAAACAATCAACACAGCAACACCAAGGCGTCTCGACCGGCTAGGTCCAGTTGACGTCAACCCTCTCTTCACCTTCAGCCGTCAAGTCCTGGGGTCTTCACGGACCCTATTCCTCACCACTTTCATCCTCCCATCGCGACCTCCCGTTACATCTTGTTCCAGTATCACTTGCACCATTTCTTCGAGGTTTGGCGCAGCTTTACAGCTACAGACAATCAGCAAGGCTCATTCCGTGCAACCAAATTTTGCCGCGATGACACCGGCAGCAGCTTTATCACAACACGGCTCTCGTCCACCTGAAAAGAACTCATGTACTAGATTCGACTGACCCACGCGAACACTTTTTATCCAGCCGTAAATGGCGCCTTCATGGCGTTGTCATCTCATGTCATGACGTGGCCGAGAACTGTCCAACATCTATCTCTGCATGATGTTCAAGGTACTGACCCCTTGGCGTCTCTACTAATACTTGGTACAGATCATGTGGCTGGGGCAACTTATCGCTCATTGCGACACCCAGCTGTCTCAAGTGTTGCGTGGACCTGTATAGTTATTCCGATTGCTTCTCGGTTCCAGCAGTCGCCTCAGCTCACCTTCAAACATGTCTACTTGAGGACCAATGCTGTCCGTCTTATCAATGTATCCTTGGTGTCCTACGCGAGAGATGCTAAACATATCATAGGAGCCGAATCTATATTTAAGGGAGTATATACTTTGTATGAGTATCGAAAAAGTTTCTATAGGTATCGAACTGTCTCTACTAAAAGTTTGTATGGGTATTCGAATATAACTTCGTAAGCGTTTTGGCCCGAACCTAGTTAAGTAAGCAGGTCGGGTTAATCTCGCTTTTCTTACCGTATTATATAAGAGGAGTAGGGCCAGTATATACGTAAAGCGTATATAAAGCATTTATTATGATTATGATTATTATTAGTATTATTATTATTATTATTATTATTATTATTATTATTATTATTATTATTATTAGTATTATTATTATTATTATTATTATTATTATTATTAATCTTACTCCGCTATCCTATCTAATCTATAAGAGCCTATTTTAGGCTATATAATCCTTTTTAGGTAGCTATAAAGGGGAAAAGCTTAGGTCCTAGAGAAAACCGCTATACTTATCCTTAGGTAGAGTAGTACTATTATAGGGCCGATATAGCCCCGGTTTGTCTATTCTACGTATCAAGATTATACCTCTAGACTAATAGCTAAAAGAGCCGTTATTCCGACTATAGTTCGGATATAGACCTATAAATATCTCTTCTAGGAATCCTATCTTCTATATATAACTACGTATAGTTATAACGATTATAAGTAAGTATAATATCGTTTTTAAGCTTTTTATATAGAAACTAATTTAACCCCTTTAGTTAATTAAAGGTAGTAGTAGGTATAATCTTAATAGCTCGGATTAAGACTCGTCGTTCTATTTTATAGTAGAATCCTAGTAATTAAGGTTATATTATAGAATCTAGCTCCCTATCCACCTATTATCGAATATCTAACTACTACTACTATAACTATTACTATTATAATTAACGGATTAGTTTATCCGTTCGATTAAAGCCGATTATAGTATAGATACCTCCTCTGTCTCCACGGCCACGGCCACGGCCGCGGATATTATAACTACCTTGTTATTATTATTATTGTTATTATTATTGTTATTGTTATTGTTATTACTATTGTTGTCGTTGTTGTTGTTGTTGTTAAGAGGTAAACCTCGCCGCTACCTCCTCTTACCGAGCCGCCGCCCGTTATTCCTCTAGATCTTATTCGGAGAGCGTATGGACGTTATCCTTATTAGAGGATCGACGGCTATCGCCGCGTGAATTAATAGATTAATAGATTAATGGATTAATAGACGATCATTGTTGTTAGATGCCTATAGCCACCTTATCGGGGTGTGACTTACGCTATTTTGTACACGGATAGAGTACTTCCGGCCGATGTATCTATATCGATTTCCCCTTATTTTACCTTATAGTTAGATATACCCGCAGAGTACCTTTTACTCTGCTTTAATGCACACACATATCTTTTACGTACCTTTTTTATATATTAACAGGTATAAGCCCGGCGTTCTAATAAACGAAGCTATTCCGATAGATCCTACAGCTTCAAGGCAGTCAAAATAGCCTTAAGTCTATAACGGGTAGTTTAGTATTATTAGCTATGTCCGCCTGCTTTATTTTAACCGTTATTGGATCGCTTAATCCCCTTTTATTTAAATCGCTTAACTCGCTTAACCTCTTAATCGTTTAATCGCTCCTTATTTAATCGGTCTATTATAGTCGGTTTCGATAGTTTATTTCCCTATAGTCCTAGTTGGTTAGACGATAGCCTTAAATACGGCGTTGCCTATAACCACTGGTAGTGACTTAGCTTATACAGAATTAATCAGTTAGCACGCCGTAAATAGTCGTTTAACGGCCGTTAATCCTACTAGTATCCTTTATTACGGAGGCGTTAGTTAAAGATTAGAGTATAAGTAAAATTCTTGTAGTAAATGATATTAAAGAGCTTGAAATTAAGACTCCCGGTCGTTCATTCTATCCGTATAATAACGGTGCCGAAGCCTTGGATTTATAGAACCGAACTACCCGCGACGATATAATCCCCTCGCGTTATAGGCCTATAATTAGTAAAACGGGTAATATCGTTAAAGATATAAATAGTGGCTCCGGAATTAAGGATAGCTAACTCCCGAAGAGGGCAATCTACGGCACCTCCCGTCGATAATACGACTACGGGGACCTGGGCGAGGAATCTACCGCCTAGCGCCGTCGTGGGCGTTATCGTGCGCGCCGTTATAGGCGCCGTAAGCGGCTTCTCGTCCGGTACTCGTTAGGCCTCCTGGAGGAAGGCCGTATACCCTTAGTTTACCTTCTTCTTCAGTGCCTTTATTTTAGTCACGGCATTCTTTAGGTCGGAATCACTCTTAAGGAGCCTACTTACTAAGTAGCTTATAGTAGTTCCCGGATACTACTCTAAATTAGCCTAATCAGGGAATATATACTAGTAATCCTCGAGAGGGTATCCCAGGATTAAGCACGTAGGAGAACCTTTAATACGTTTATAGTAGGACTACCGTCTTTTTAAGGAATTACGAGTTATTAACGAGGAGGTAGTACTATTATTTCCTCTTCCTTTTCCACGGCTATAGCCGCGGCCCTTAACCTTTTTATTAGATAACGATAAGAACGTTTATACGTTATTATTATAGTATATAATAATAAGGTTATATCACTAATCTATCTATTCGTTAATTTTCTTACAGTTATTCGGAGCCTTATAAAGGTGCTATCAATACTGGTTTATAGCGGTCTTCTTACGGTTTACGATATAACCTATAGTATTAATTTAAATGGCTTCGTATACCTCGCTAGGCTTATCGCTACAGAACAGGGCGTTAAACTTTAAGGGCGTGATAAAGGTAGTAAACCACACGGCCACCGCTCCTATCTCTTATTCTTATTAATTAAAAGCACGCTCCTTCTATTTATATTCTTCGAAATTCTAACTATAGGCTACTCTTCCGGTAACCGTTAAGTCTATCTAACTAGTAGAGTTATCTACTGAAGCCACTAAAGGGTAGCTAGCGTATATTGGAAGGATAGGATAGGTAGGTTCTATAAAGGGGTCTGTAGGTCGTAGATAGATCTAGACTCCATTTACTTTTGCTATTATCGTGTACTAACGGTTCTAGGACTTCTAGTCAATATAGCTAGTATATATAGCCTTAGGGGTCTCGGGTATCTTACTGGTTAGGTTATTATACGTTAAAACTATAAGATTTAGTCGGTTATATCTCGCTCTAGCGGCCTGGCTAGTAAGGCTCTTCAAAGATAGAAGAATAAGAATAAAAGCTAAGACTCTCAATTCCCAAATATAGCATAACCGTAATAGAGTGAATACAATCAGAACAGTTAGATTAAGAGGTCCTAAATTGATTATACTAAAGCTATAAACCGTTATAAAAACGTGTCCCTAAAACCTGTGGTTAGGAGGCAAAATTAGTGCCCGAAATTCTAGGGATATTAACTATCTATACCTAACCGATTATTCGGCCGTTAGGTTATTCCACCCCGAGGGTGGTCTGTGCCACATATAGCAGCACAGTCTAACAGTTATATATACAAGTGATACCCACGGAACGCCCTTAATTAAATACAACGCTATTTACGATAAACCGTATATAAAACGAAAGTACAGAGATTTTGCAACTTATAGGACTATATACTGTAGGAGCTGTTATTTAAGGCGTAGTCGAAATTATTACACAATAGGTCAAAATTGATTAAGATAATTCTGTATACTTATAACTGTGTAAGGAGCGTTAGGGAACTGCTATTACCGTATTTTATATAGTGTAGATTCTGTAAGCGTCTACCCGGATTATACTCTTAGTAATCCGGCCCGTTACATAACCGAAAAGACTATAGTCTATTCGATATACCCTATAATCGCCCTTAACCTTAGTTATACGATTAAAGCTATTCGCAACTAGTAGATATAACAGGCATATAATCTATATAGTCTCTTCGCTATAACTGCCCTTAAACTTATCCTCCAGGTTGTCTAAATACTCTATCCGGACTTCCTCTAGCTATTTTTACTATAGCCGTTTCCGTATATCTATCACGCCTACCTAGGACGTAAATATCTTAACTTTCTGGTTGTATAACGCCTTTGTTAATCCGTCTACCACTATTTCCGCGCTCGTAACGTATATTACGAGTATTTACCCTGATTCCTTTACTTAACGTAACTAGTAGCTGTAGATATCGTTATAGCGAAGGCGCGTTATTAATATACTAATCTCTTAATTAACTAACGGAATCGTTTAGTTATTATTACACAGGATCCTTAATTCTGGATCGTTAAATTCTACTCCTATACTATATAATAGACGTTATATAAAGATACCTTCCTTTACACCTTATACTAACGCTAATAGCTCTGCTTCCGTCATTAACGTTATAACCGTATCCTGCTTATTAACGCGCCACGCGATTATTCCTCTAAATAAACATATTATAAACGCTTAACTACTCTTACGATTAAAGGTATTATCGGCAAAGGAGCCCTTAGTATAGATTTTAATAGCATCGCTACCCCCTAGTTCTAATGTATACGATTAGCTATTAATTAGATAGAGGATGAAATAATCGGCAGCGTCGTGGTATATAGGTTCGGAATTAGTATTAAAGCGGTTTAGCCTTAATACTATAAACGCGATATCAAACCGCGATATCACTATTATATATAGTATAGATCCTATCTTCTATTAATATCTTTTAACGTTAGTCGAGGTCCCTAAATAAGGCAGTAGTTCTATAACCTTAATTAGGTGCGTTAGGCGATAGTTACTGCCATACTTACTATCCGGCTTTAATAGACATTCTAAGTTTACAATATAGTCGCGTTACGATAGCCAGATCTTATATACGGCACGGTCGCGAATAACCTTAATACTAAAGAACCACTCTAGAGAATCGCTACCTTATAGGTCATAGTGGCGTTATAGGGTATTAATAGCCTACTCTATCTATAGTTTATATTATTCCTTATAAGTAAAAACGATATCGTTAACGT